GATAATCAACATGTAACATAAATAATTTCTACATACAATTATACTATGAAAATGTATACGCTATTTTAAATGTAAGAGTTTAAGTATCAGGACATACTGGTATACGTCACCGTGTCCTGTCTGGACTGAGCATCAAACGCATAACAGAAATCTAGACATCCTACAAGAGCCCAGACGTTATTCCCAGTACGAGACCAGCTCCCTCATAGACTGGTTTCAGTACACTTTTTAAGATTCACATCCTTAGTGCACAAACTCTCGCTCCAACAATACAACATAGCAGCACCCATAAAACTTCTCAACAGCAGGACTTTTTGTCTGGACTCATCCTCACAGCTATTTATCCTCAGCCCACATAAAATGACTATAGCTCAGAGGATTTGACAGATAATGAGATAAAATATGGGGCTGTAGTGTCTGACAGTCCTTCACAACATAGAGTATACTCCATGTGCTAACAGAGGTCATGCAAAAATCACATGCGACTGTGCAACATGTTTATTTTTTCAAGATTTGACATAAACAGCTACACTTATATCATTTCTCAACCTGAGATTATCTTAGGCTAAAACTTGTATAAAGGAGGTAGTATTATGTATTCCTTTACCAAATGCTACTCTTTTAATTTTAGATTATGTTTGTCTCATATACGTAAAATACATGTCATAATAACACATTATAATATCTTATCTTGTATGTTATCAATCCTTTAACATAGTTGGAAGACCAGATGAGCAAAATTTGTAATGCTCTGATGTGAAAAGTGTAACCTACAGATACAAGTTTACTCATTAATTCAACCTTTATTTCTACAGGTTAGTCTCACTGAGCCTCGAGGACTCATTTACAGGGAGACCTGATTATAACAAAGAACACAGATGACAACAATAGACAATCATATGCAAAGCATATAAAATGAAAAAGTAAGTAGAAGAAATTATATATAAACAAAACAAAAACAGTTACATTATAAAATTATGTAAAAAACTAAAAACAGGAACATGTCTGCGTTGGTTTTTTTGCCATGAACTTAGCAGATGTTTAAAATCCCTTACAGGGGTCAAAATCGACAACTGCTGACCTCATAATAATGAAAAGTATAATGTAACTAATAAATGTGTCTAAAGTGAGTGAATGAGTCTCAGAGTAACGATGATAATATCCTAGATCAGGAACAGGCTGCTCAGAAAACAAACAAGAACACATTGGACCGCAGTACAAACTGAGTGAGTAAGTTAGTAAAGTAAGGAAGTGAGTGTTGCTTATAGCAAAACTGAATTTAAAAATAGAAATAAGCATAAAACAACAAAATTCCCAATGAATGCAGAAACACATTTTTATCATTTAGAATAAAATTCAGTGTGGTGTCCAACCTGTTTGTGTCGTTGCCAGAGTAGTTCCAGTCTATCTCCACAGCAGCGATGTAGTAGTGTCTCTCCTTGGATTCATGTAGGCTCGCTTGGACCTGAAGGACCATCAGAAGAACCAGAACAGGCAGGAGGCACCAAGCTCTAGTCCAAGAACAGAGCCCCATACCTGTACGTAAACCTCCAGGTGATTCAGATCTGTTCTGTAAAGCTGTGAAACTCTGATCTGACAGAGAGGTCGGTTCAGTCCTTTATCTGATACTGACACACACACATGCACACACACCACGCAGTCAAACACCATGTACCAGGGCAATGAACTTGGCCTCTACTTCTTTCAAAATAAAGCTGTATGTGTAAGTCATTCCCGAGGTTGTGTTCATTTCTGTTATTTCTGAAAATGACTGTGGGAGAAGTTACACTGCAGATGTCTCAGTTCCCAGTATGTCCCAGTATCAGATTTTAAAATATCCATAATTCAAGACTTTACCTCATACATTTTACGACATAGGTGAAGTCAGACACACATAATTTACTTGGACACATAAAAATAAACATATTTGAACAACCACTGCATGTATATTGTGTATGATCGTTATTTTATGTATTTTAGTCACAAAAACTTATCAAGCATCGTAATATGCATCTTGCTTTTTTCAGAAATATCAGAATGGTTGGAAGTTTCAATTTCATTTTAAATCTATACAAGATTTTAAAATGTAGCTGGTACAGAAGTTTAATATTCACAAGTCCCAGTTTTTTTCATATATCAGCAACTGAGGCATTTTGTGAGGTCTAACTCTAATAATAATAATAATAATAATAATAATATAATAATAATTTTATTTAAAAAGCGCCTTTCATGACACCCAAGGACACTTTACAGTAAGAACAAAGATCAACAGGAATAAATTACATAAAGAATATAAAATACATAAAGAATATAAAATACATAAAGAATATGAAACACATACAGCAAAGTTAAGGATAAGCGAGTCTAAAGAGATGTGTTTTCAGAGCAGTCTTGAATATAGAAAGAGAGGTGGTGTTTCTTAAGTCAGGGGGTAGAGAGTTCCAGAGATGAGGGGCAGAGCAGGTGAAGGCCCTGCTCCCCATGGTGGAGAGGCGAGCAGAGGGTACATGGAGGTGTAGTGAAGAGGAGGATCTGAGAGAGCGAGAGGGGATGGAGATGTGTAGGAGGTCAGATAGGTACGGAGGGGCAAGGTTGTGGATAGCTTTGAAAGTGAGAAGAAGAATTTTGAAGACGATGCGTGATTTAACCGGGAGCCAGTGGAGTTGCTGCAGGACAGGAGTAATGTGGTTATAGGAGGAGGTTTGAGTTATGACACGGGCAGCTGAGTTCTGGACCAATTGTAGCTTCTGGAGAGATTTGTTGGGGAGGCCATAAAGAAGGGAGTTGCAG